TAGTCCTACATGATGAGACAATGAATGAGGCTAGTGTTTTTCTGATTCTTCTTTTGTATACTACTATTTCAATTACCTTTAGGGGTCATGGGACCAAATTTATCCCTGTAAGTTATGTTAATGTGTCTGCCACCTTTTCCCTCAAAAGGATTTTATCTTTCTATTGTCACTCTTCCTGTACAAACAGGAAGGATTCAGCATGGAAAACTTTTTAAAAAGTCAGGAGGGACCATTCACTTTTGGTTCTACATGAAGTCAGCATGGAGAAGAGAAAGGAAGTCCTCCACACTCCAAGTAATTTTACCCCAGAGGGAGATCATGGCTTCATCCTCCATAAACTTCACAGAATTGATACAAATTTTAAAATCTGATTCTACAAAAGGCCCCCAGTGCTGGGTGCCTCTGGTAGTTGATTTAGTTAACTTGCATACTTCATTTTTTTATACTACACCTTATCTAATTTCTGCTAAGTTAAAAGTCAACATTGGTTTCAATTTAGCTTTGGAAAGTTGCAAATGGAATAATGTTGGCCCAGACAGGAGATAGGGGCATAGTGGTTATTGACGCAGAGGCCATCTTGTACCCATCAGAAGCTCAAGAAAGGTCCAAGGACATGTTGTGGGCAGTGGAATGTAGTGAGTGAGTGAACTTCATGTTGAGTTAGGAAAAGACTGAAATTGTTAAATCAGGGGCTATCTTGGGGTGGATGCACCTTAATTTAAATGTGTTTACCTCAGCGCACATGATCCTAAAATGAATTTTAAATGGTTATATGCTTTATAGTTCCTTATTAAAAAAAGCCCGGACACTGGCCTATTAAACATTTTTCTCTTTTTATTTACTTGGAAAAGTTTTTTGTGCAATTCAGTTGGAGAAGCTGTCACAATGGAGTTTATGTAGATAGTGCCTTTTGGAATTATGCAAAGGGCTGTTTGTGTTGGTCTGTCAAGTAACAGTCCTTGTTTTCTAGCTTCATAAAACCCATTTTTCTTTATACTCCACAGCTAATTTGATGTGTTATACATCTTCTTTGTTTCTTCATGGAAAATAGTTGAATTGGGTTGCTTTCCCATTTTACTATTGACAATCTGTCTTTATAGCCACATAGAGTTGTTAGAAATATGAATCACTTCAAAAGAACTCACCCAGCGCATACATAATCCATGGAATCATGAGCCCCTACTTCCAACTAAATTGCTATTGGCAGTTCATGGCTGCTGGGGAAAGCACAGTCAATTTTCTTCAGGGGTGTTATTCCTCATAGGTAGCCCATGTTCCAGTAGATTGGTCTCACCCATGCACATATGGACAACACTACTTTAATTAGATGGGTTATAACCAAAGAAAAAGGTGGAGGGAGAGAAAGAAGAGAGATAGAAAGAGTAGTGGTGGACATAAAGAAGGTAGGGGGAGCAGGAGATAGAAAGCAGATGGTAGGTAAAATCAAAGTACAGTGTTATGGATTGCCCAGAGTCTGTGCAGGATGTTACATCCAATGGGTAATATCTGAGGGAAAAAAAATCTACGTACTCTATGCTCTTATGTCTGTTAACTTTATTTCTCTAAGACAAAATTTTATCTTTACAGCTACAGCTCTGTCAGACATTCAGGGCAGGAATAAATCTAGATGCACCAAGGTCTTTATCCTCTACTTTATTTCTCTGGGATGAAATCCTGTCTGCACAGCTTCAGTTCCATCCTGACACTCAGTTCCTTTTTGTCCCCTCATCTACTGTCCTCTCATAGTCCTGCTAATGACTAAGCTCTTCTGCTTCCCGCCTCATCTTTGTCCTCTGTTTCTTCGCTTTCCATCTCTACTTGCTCTCTACTCCTGTCTCTGATGAACTCTACAAGAGTTCTGCCTTACCATCTACAAAACCTCTGTGTTCTTCCCTTCTCCCTGGTCATGCCATTCTGTCTGCCTCTAAAGAAAACACCTACCCCTTCTTCCTCTGCCATTGTGGTTCTCTGCCTCCTCAGGAATGTTGCTCCACCCTACCTTCCACCTTGATATGTAAAAACCTCTTTTGTTCTCAGTCAGTTGCTCTGGAGAGCCGCTAGGCCTCAAGGCAAAGGGATGGTCTGAGCTTCATTAGCACAAGAAGCAAAGCTATGCATCTCCCACCAGCTTGTCTTTGCCTATGTGACCTTATTCAGGTACCTGCTCGAACAGGGAAGTTCACACACACACATTCTATGGGAATTGTGAGCACAAGCAAATTCATAACAAGGCACAGTTGAATATTAAGCTGTGTTACACCAAATAGTTCATGCTAGATGGCTTGCCACTTGACTGACCCTTGGCCTGGTCAAGGTATAGCTTTAATATACAGCTGGATTCCTTATCACATATTCTTGTGGCTCGCCACACATTGTGGCTTGAGAGATGGCTCAGCAGTTAAAAATGCATATTGCTCTTGCAGAGGACCTTAGTTCACCTCCCAGCACCCATGTCAGATAGGTCAAAAGCACCACAACTCTAGTGGATCTAAAGATTGTGGCCTCCGAGGTCATTTAAACTCATATGCACATAACCCATAGAGATACATAAAACTAAAAATAATAAAAAAAATGAATCTTTTTAAAAACATTGCAGTCAAAAATTTAAAATTTAAAGTAACTGAAAGCCTGATTTATATTTTTAATGTTAGCTTTTATTTTTGGTTCATGGGTAGTTTCCAGAGAACTATTGCCTCTATAATCTCCTTTCAACACATTTAAAAATCATTTGACCTTTTCAAAGTGTTTTGTTTGTTCAAAAAGCATAAATAAGCTCTGCTTAGGCTTTCAACTGGTTTAATTGTACAGATTCTATGTTAATATTTTTTACATCTTCCAACCAGATGATTTTGAAAATGATGTCTTACCATGTAGATATAGTTACTTACCAAAATCCTTATTAAATTTTCATTTTAGCCTGTTTTTCTCTCTGCTTTTCCTGCTCTTATTCAAGTGCATATTTATATACTTCAGAATATGGGCTCAAGCATTGTAGTCTTTCAGTATCAACTATGTAGCTGTTGGATACTGAAGACATAGTATTATGATGAGAAAACTACAAAATGAAGATAAATGCCTTTCCCTGATTAAAATTACCCACTTACATCACTAAAACTATAAATAACATTGACAAAATGAGCTAAGGCATTCCCTCTATTGGCAATTTTAAATGAGTGGTGTTTTTTTTTTTTT